CCAGACCCCACGCTGTCTTCCCTTACCAAAGCAGAAGAGAGAGGGAACATTATGAACGTTGATGGGGTGTAGGGGTTTACGATTACCAGCGTCAAACCCACAGGTTGTATAAACGAACTGTTTGTGGCCTACTTCTCACTCAAGGTACTTTTAGTCTTAAAAAAAGAAACCCTCAAATTTAGTAATGAATGATATATGACCATGTACATGCTATCATGTCTGAGTTAGCCATATATTAATTCATAATCTATGTAGGTCAGACATGCCAACTCAACCTAGGAAGAACCCATGTGAAGGTCTGTGGTCTGAGGCTGTGAGCAGAGTAATTTATTACCCCTCCTCCATGACTCCCACCATAACCTCGCAGGAGACAAGAACATCATCACAGGAGTACGTCTGGCCCCTTTTAGTTCAGATCTCAGAGCAAAATTTGGGGAAGCTGGAAAACAAACTGAACAAAACAGAATAAAATATTTTACTATTGTCTCCACACAAAGTGCTGAATTTTATACAGCTTTTCCTAGAACGACCTGGATCAATGAAAACACTTTTCAACAGAGTGGAGACGCGTTGTTCTTCAGCAAAAGAATAGCCGCCTGGCTGATCAATTGAAATTCTAGCTTGGACAAAATCATTTTCCCATTCAAGACCGAATTACTCGCTGCCGGCTGCAGGGTTAGTGTTCTTCTGCCAGGGTTAAAATTTCCGAAGCCTATTTGATGGTGTTTACACAAAGTAGCCCTAGCAGCACCACCGCCGAGAAACTTTCATGGGGCAGGGGAGCGCCTCCCCGTTAGCACTTCTCAATAGAGATCTCAACAGAGCAAAGGAGATGAGGAGTGGGGCTGCGAGGGAACCCGTAACTATGGCACAAGTTTTTTTCCACCCTTCTTTGCTCCCTCTCAGCAGCGACCATGAATAACAAGCAGGAAAAACAGAGGCAGGTTTTGAAGAGAAATGAGGGCAGTGGGGGGGAGGGAGGAGGGAGGGCCCTGCTTATGCAAGAGGGGTTATAAAAGGGGGAGCCGAGTCCCCCCACCCTGAAATCGGGAAGAGTGGGGCAAAAGGAGAGCGTGGACCTCTTCGCTGAAGAGCAGGTTTGAGAGGTCTGTGTTTCTTTGTACCTTTACTGCTGCTGGTGCAGGGTGAGATTCGTTAGGAAATGTGCGTGGGCCCTGGCTTGCTTTGCACAGGGGATGCCTTTAGGAACAGCCTTGCTTTGACCTTCTTCGGTTCCTAGTTGCCGGAAAGCTTTTCGGCAAAGTTTGGCCCGCCGCAGGTTTTCTGGCACAGCTTTCTTTGGGGAGCCAAATCCTCAGCCACCGGAGCCGAAGGGCAGGATAGAGACTCTCTTCTTTCCGAAGTCGAAGCTCTATCTACCCGCCCCCGCCGAGAAACTTTCATGGGGCAGGGGAGCGCCTCCCCGTTAGCACTTCTCAATAGAGATCTCAACAGAGCAAAGGAGATGAGGAGTGGGGCTGCGAGGGAACCCGTAACTATGGCACAAGTTTTTTTCCACCCTTCTTTGCTCCCTCTCAGCAGCGACCATGAATAACAAGCAGGAAAAACAGAGGCAGGTTTTGAAGAGAAATGAGGGCAGTGGGGGGGAGGGAGGAGGGAGGGCCCTGCTTATGCAAGAGGGGTTATAAAAGGGGGAGCCGAGTCCCCCCGCCCTGAAATCGGGAAGAGTGGGGCAAAAGGAGAGCGTGGACCTCTTCGCTGAAGAGCAGGTTTGAGAGGTCTGTGTTTCTTTGTACCTTTACTGCTGCTGGTGCAGGGTGAGATTCGTTAGGAAATGTGCGTGGGCCCTGGCTTGCTTTGCACAGGGGATGCCTTTAGGAACAGCCTTGCTTTGACCTTCTTCGGTTCCTAGTTGCCGGAAAGCTTTTCGGCAAAGTTTGGCCCGCCGCAGGTTTTCTGGCACAGCTTTCTTTGGGGAGCCAAATCCTCAGCCACCGGAGCCGAAGGGCAGGATAGAGACTCTCTTCTTTCCGAAGTCGAAGCTCTATCTTTAAGCACACGCTCATTCCTAAAACCATGGCAACCCAACAAAAAAAAAAGCCCGAGAAAAGGGTCCACATATAGTAATTGGAAGAATGCTTGTGCAATCCCACTTAAAAATGGCTCAGAAGTAAAATGAAAGACTAACTGTAATTAAGTCCTACTAGGATAAAGTACATTCCAGGTGTAGCAGTGTATGTTCTTCATAGTCTGAAAGCTCCTCCTTTAGTAGAAACTGTGAGAAGATAAAAGACAAAGATCTAAGAAGTGCACTAGTGCGTGATGCATCTTAATAGGGGAATATTAATTGAGTGAGCATAAGTGACCAGCAAATTAGGCGGGGTTTGTGTCTGAGCTTTGTAGTAGGGCATGAACATAAGCTGAAATCAAAGGTTCTCCCTCATTACTGAGGCCAGCCAAATTCCTGGTGGTCCAAAGCAGGAGGAGCACTGTGGTGAAAGTGGGTCGTTGAACATTTTCTGGTGAAACTTTTTTTCTGAAGAAAGCTGGGTATTTTATTTCAATTACTTTATTGATTGAGTTGGGGGCGGGGGAAGACTCCTGTGCTCCCCAAAGATGTTGACAAAAAATTGTCAACAGAAAACAATAGAACTGAGTGCACAAACACCCAAAGGTCAACTTGGCCAAAACCCCTGAGAACTTTCAACTAAAACCTGAACTTCCTTTATGTAACAGAGCCACCAGAACACCACACGGGAGTAATCATTCAGCTGCCTCCTGCTCCCCCTCTTCCGTGGGGCAGCATCCCCTGTGGCCAGGGATGCCTGCTTTAGGGCTGGTGCCCATAGCAAAAGGAGAGCACCAGGAGCTGCAGCGTGACTTGGTCATGGACCGCGGGGGAGCTGGAAGCAGGAGATACACAAACAGCAACGCCCTCTGGGTGCTAGGGCAGCGTTTCTGAATCATGCATAGAGGCATAATGATTTAAGGAGAAAAAATACAGTGGCTGCGGGTTATGTGATTTCCCCTTCCAGTGTTTATTGTCCACAGTAAACACGTAAGTCTGGCAGCTGTTGTATATGTTATTAGCATCACTTGTAGCTTATTACCCAAAGTCAATAATTCTTGTTAATAAGGATACTTTCCAGTCTTTAACAGAGCACAAGGTGTCTTTCATTGAAACAGCCTCGGTTTCTGTGTCCTTGATACTGAGAGTATCAAGCTGGGTTTGCTTTTTCCCTGTGCTCAAGCCTCCCCTAGGAGGATGTAACAGACCAGCTATAGATCACAGGCACACTACGGTCTGGCCACTCGTGAACACCGCTGGTGCCTAGTGCCTTACGTGGACCCACCTGGGTAGAGGTGCAGGAGACACAGATTTGGGCTGTGCTGTCACACGTCCCACCCGCACCTCCACCGGCCTCTAAGGGACCAGCTTTCTCCCCCAGCCTGCCTGTGGGAAGGACTCTCCAGGGGAGAGGGGAAAGAAGGGGGATTGCAACCCAAAACCTAGGTCATTCTCATAGCATTTAGCTGAACAAAATGCATTTTTAATGGGGGATCCGACTTCTCCTGTTGCCTGGATCCATGGCTGGGCTGCATGCATTTTATAGCCATCTGGAGATGGTACAAATGCTCAAGGACTGTTCTATTGCCAGATGCTTCCTCAACTGAGATGCTCAGGCACGCAAGGGGACAAAACACCTTAAATATTTCAAGCTGTTTGTTTAGGCCTTGAGTGCATGATAGCATGTCATACGGGCCTGTGCTCAGAACCGCTTTCAGACCTCATTAGAGCTAAGGTAATCAGGTTGTTTAAATGAAAAGCAGGGCTGCAGAGACAGAAATTTCCCATCCCTTTAGCGTTAGTCACCTGGCACACAGCGCTTGGGATGGCAGGACTTGGCTATCCTGCCTCCACCTTCAACTCCACCAGCTCCAACTGCCCAGGTGCGCTGAAAACATCCCTCTCTCTTGGCTCTCTCCTTGAAGCCAATGTGTAACTGGGCACCACAGTACCAACCATGCCTGACTGGCCCTCTAAAATCAGGGCATGGATGTTAAATCAGCCCTACTCCTATTAGAACCACGGGATTTTAATTACTAACTATAACAGGGGCACTGAACAAGACCAAGTCTAACCCAACTGCATCATCCCCAGTTTGATTCACTGTTTATTTGCTTAAAGAGGAAGAAGGGGCATGCCAAACTGGAGGACCATTTCAAAAGCAGCAGAAAGATCTCCAAATCCCACCCCTTTTGCCAAACAGGACTTGGGAAGCTGAGACTGGGAGGGATGATGTCTCGGTGATCTGTCTCTGGCAACCTAATCCATCTAGCTTTCATCCTCTCCTTTTCAACACATTTTGTTTTGAAGAGGAAAAAGAACAAACTTTTTATCTTCTGGATAGGTCAAGAGGGAAAGAGAGGGTAAAAATTGAAAGTTTAATCATTTTACTCTGCAGTAGCGTACATGTTCCACTCACTGATGGGTACCCAAGCTGCAAGGTAAAGATTAAAGGCAATTTATCCAAGAAGAAAAAAATCTGGTCCGACTGTACAACAAATACAGGTACAAAGAAATCTGCATTTCTTTGAGTCTGGCACAAAATGAGCTGAGTAATTTTCAGCTCCTATAATCATTTTTTCTGCATAGTAAATTGGCTGTGTCGGTCTTAGTAAATGTGTAACTGCAGGCTATGCAGATGTGCTGGGCCCGGTTAAAGGTTGTGTATCCATCCCTAGAACTTTCTATGCAGCCGGTGTTAAGCCGTGATCAGGTTTCATCGGGTCCTGTCTGGCCTGAGCTAACTTTTTTCGGCCCCCCAGCCTGTGATGTAAAGTAGCTTTGCGCAATGCCATTACAGACATGTAGAAAGGGCCCTCCCGTGGAAAGGGCATAAATCTACCAGCAATCACACCGCACCGCTCCAGGGGGAAGAGGTGTCGCGAGAAGCCTGCCTGAGGGGGGACGGCGTTCGAGGGGCGGCACACACCAAGACAGAGGCGAGTAAGCACACTTACTGGATTTACTTTGAATGCCAATTTTTCAACTCGAGTTTTCGTGCTTTTCTGAAAGGCTCTGGGCTGACTTCTTTCGGGAAATAAGCCCCGCTGGCTTTCCACAGATGGGGCTTAGTGTAAGTGCCGGCAGTGAGAACTGCCCCTCTTGTTTCTGCTCATGAGAAAAGAGCTGACATGATGGCTCTGGCAGCCGTAAAGAAGTAACCACCGGGCACCAGCGGTGCCTAATGGCACAGCCTGACCAGGTGGCACAGAATCATCCTCACTGCTGCTACAGGAAGGATTAAGAAATACGTCAAAAGAATTGTATCATGGAGAGAATAGGCTGGGAAGGGCAGCGCCTCTAATTCATGGCTTTTTGATTTGTTTTCCTGAGCTGTCCCAATCTTGAACAGCTGGATTTAAACCCAGACACTTCCACCCTGTGTAAATTAAAGTGTTGGTGAGACAGACATTGCACTGCTTCCTCTCAAAAGGCTCAGGCTACCAGAATGACAATACCTGACAGGCTGGCGCAACTCAGAAAATCTTGGAGAAAGAAGGCGGAGAGCAGAGCTTGGTTATTGGCAAGGCTGTTAGCATTTTGCCCATCCAATGAGCTCTGCAGAGCTTGGAAAGGGCAAAAGAGGGTGAACAGAGCTACAATAAACAAGAAATGACTAGTAAAATAAAAATACAGCTCTGAATAACAGTGTTTTGGCCAATGATAAGTGTTACAGATGCATAATTTCCAACGCATTTGGATTTCAAATACACAAAGTCATAGACTAGAAATCCAGGGAAGGTACAGCAGAGCTATTAGTTATAAAAAAATGGGATATAGGAAAAATGAGAATTATAAAGATGCAAAATTTGTCAGTGTGTTTGTGCACACATGTGTATATATGTATGTGCACGCGTATGTGTGCCCATAACTTTCTCATTCCCAATATGCACCAGATCTTTTGTGCCAAAACAGCAGTGACCTCCACATCCAGTAAAATTCTCTACTGCTTGTCAGGAAAAACAAGAGCAGTAGGTGGTCTTCTGCCGCAGGAGAAGACTGCCTGTACAGTAGAGTAAAACTCAGCTTACCCCTTCTAACTCTCTATTCAGATAAAGAAGGTGCTATGAAAATGGTTTCAGTGTTAGCACATTTGTATAAGGAAGCCTCGAGTGTGTTTGCCTAGAAGCTAGAACGAATGTTTGCACTGGGCTATGAAAACACAAAATGCTCTGCTAGTGCCAAGTATTATGCTGACTAGACATACAAAGGGGGATCGTTCAGTGGTTGGACCTTAAGAGACCTGGTTTCCAAACCCACTTCCCGTGTAACAGCAGGCAAATCGCTTAGCCTGTCCGTGTGTCAGCAAGATTTAGTGCAGCAGTTTGCAGAGATAGCTCTGACCAGGTCCCAGGAGCATTATACTTGCATTATTATAATGTTTTGCCAGAACTAGCAAGCTCTCGTTCGCAAGCCTAACTAGTCGGCATGCACAACCATATTGCTTCCTGTGCTAAATCGTTAGGGTACTGCAGCGGGCAATGAAGTCAAATCTGTGCTTAGAATTTCCCCACCTGCCACCATTGAAACTGGTGGCCATCTCACCCTGCGCTTTTCAGGGGGCAGAGTCGGACCAACCAGCCCTAAACCAGCCCCTGAAATTCCTGCCTTTGTAACTCCAACGCAGCACTAGAACCTCACCCTGCGAGTAAGAGAAACTGTAGTTACAACAGGCTGATCAGGCTTCTTTCCTCCCCACTTTTTCTTTCAGCAGACACTGTGGAAGCAATTTTTCAACATGAACCTGGCAGCAGATCTTCTCTGTTTGTTGGTGTGCCTCACCGCAGTGACTTGTGACCGGGTCTACGTCCACCCTTTCAATTTGTTTTCTTTCAACAAGAGTAACTGTGAGGAGCTGGAAAGCCTGGTCCAGGAGGGAAAGAAAACTTTTGTCCCCATCTCGATCGAGTCTCAAACCACACCTGCCTATGAAGGTGACCTGAACGACAAGGACAAGCTGGAAGCCCCGAGCCTGAGTGGCTGGGGGAGGCAGAAACTGAGCTACCTGAAGGACTTTGTGTACATCCTGGGTGCACGGTTTTACAGCAAGCTGCGGGAAGTGCGTCGGGGCCAAAACGTGCTCCTGTCCCCAACCAGTCTTTATGGCTCCTTGGTGTCTTTCTACATGGGCGCCTCAAACCAGACAGCAGCTGATTTGCAGGGTTTGCTGGGAATTGTTCCCCCCTCCGGAGACCCTGACTGTACCTCCAGGGTGGATGGACACAAAGTCCTTTCCAGCCTGAGGATGATCGAAAGCCTCATCAAGAGCAGGGACGAGGAGCTGCTCTTTTCCAAGATGCTCTTCCTATTCTCTGCCCCCGGTGTACCTCTATCCCAACTGTTTGTGCAGGACTTGCTCCCCTCCGTCGATGCTCTCTACGCCCGAGCTGTTGACTTTACAAACCCAAGCGAGGCAGCAAAGCAAATAAACGCCTTTGTGGAGGCCAAAAGCGAGGGCCAAAGCAAGTGCTTACTGACAGACATCGATCCATCCACCGACTTGCTGTTTGCGGTGGATGTCCGCTTGGCAGGTATGAGGCAGCACTGCTCGTTTTGGGGGCAGGCTGGGTGGAGGACAGGCAGTGGCCCTGCTCCCAGGAAGGAAGCAAGGTCACGCCTGGCCAGCAGCGAGAGGGAAGGGCTCAGATGGAAGGCTGGACCACTGCTCCATGTACAGTGTCCTGCTCCCCACCGCTCTGCTGGGGGTCCTGCCTGCACTCTGCCACAAGCCAGCAAGGGCAACAGGGAGGAGGTGGAGGGATATGGCCTCCAAAAAATTTTCCTTGTCCAGGAAGCTGTGGGAACGTGAATAAGAGAGGATTGCGCAGCATTTCTGACTGCAAAGGAAATAAAAGTCATGAGGGGCCTCCAGAAAAATGATCAGGAAGTAGGTTTAAAGCAAGCCAAAGAAATACCTTTCCCCAGAACCTGTATTTCCTCAGGGGAGCTGGGGGTAACAGGCCAGAGGTACAGATTCAAGAAAGTCTAAAAAATATAATGGACATGACTCCTCTAGTGACTATTAAACACAGAAGTCTGGAGGCAACTTCTGGCTCAGGAAGCAACCAAACAAGCTACCAGTTATGGAAGCGGGGAGCATATACAAAACTAGAAGAATTAAGGCAATCCCTTAATTACCTAGGGTCATTCCATGCTGCTGTCCCAGAAATTCCTCTGTAACACAACTGAGCCTCCTCTTCTGAGTGTAGGTGCTTTTTAAAATCCTTGCGACTGAATGCAATACCAGAGGTCGCACGCTTTAGGACAGCTTGCCTACCAGTGACTGTATTTCTGCTAAGCGGGTCTACTGCTTAGGTGGAGCTCTGGTGCCCATGAAATGCTTTTGTGCCTTCATCTTCCCACCTGTAAACTGGATATCAGGTTTTCTTTGCCTTTCACGGGTGCTGTCTTTAACTGATCCCAACTCCTCAGGGAGCTGTGAGCATCAGCTTTCTCTTCAGCGTAAGGTCTAGCATAGAGATGATACCACAAAAATAAATCTCGTGTTACAGACTTGGGCAGAGTTTTGCTTTAGCAGAACAATTTTCTCTTCTTCTGTATTGGAAACTTGCAATTTTATTAGCTTAGGAACACATGCTTGAGGGTCTGAGTCACTGGGTCAGCTCTACTACCACCTCTCTCTCAGAAGGGTGCACTTGAGATGTTGTAGTCTCCACATGTGGGATGGAGAAGATTGCCTCAAGAACAAATGAATTAGATAAGCAATTGTCTTCTAATAAACACAAGAGATGACTTCAGCATTTGCTTTGCCATTTGGTTGTGGAGGGGCAACCATGACAGCTGATGCTGTCATGTTCCATGTCTGTCTCTATAGCTGCAGAAAGGAAAAAGTACATTTTTTTTTTTTGTCTGAAACACATTATATATGCTCCTGAGATGCTATCAATAGCCATAGGATTGATAAAATGACAGAAATCCATACAAAACAACAGCTAAATGTTCCAACGGTCTCAACCGTTGTTCCCTTGCACACAGTTGTTTTCACATTTGTAGACTTGCTGCCAAGCAGGGCCTGCCATTTAGAATCCAATGCAGAACACCAGGTGCAAATTTTACTGACAGACTTCTTTTTTTGTTTGAAGTTGCAAAATAGTTACAAACAAGTGAATGAAAATAGCACCGTGGGACTGCACAATCTTAAGGGCCCTTACCTTCTCCCATTTAAACTCTCTTTTGAACGGACAACCTTCAACAATTTCAGTTTTAACTAAAAATGTGGTAGGATTTTTTTGCTGTTTTTTGTTTGGTTTGGGTTTTTTTTTTTTTTAAAGTAAAAAGTCAGCTTTCCACAGAAAGTCATCCTCTCATTAAGCTTGTCAGGCTGGCATAAAGCCTGTATTATAGAACATGGAGATCATCACCTGAAGCGGAGAGGTCCAATGTTTCTTTCCTGTACTGCCAAGTCAGTATGGCAGAGCACTCTCTTACTCTCCCAGGCTACCTCTTCGCTCTGTGATTGACAGCCTTTTTCACTTCAGTTATCTTCCCTATATAGTAGCCACAGGTTTCTTCCCTGCTCTGGTGTGGTTGCCGAAAGGTTGCCCAATCCCACAGCTTCTGTGTCCTGATACAAGAGATCTCACTGTAAGAAACCATTTCTTCCAATGTGTCAGCTATCACCTTCTATAGAAGGGATGTTCATCTTCAGTTTTCCTCATTTTACATTCCAGGTGTCTGAGGCAAAAAGCAGGGTTTCTTTAGTAAATACATCTCTCCCATGTCCTAAAAAAATGCTGTAAGAAACAGTCATATTAAGACTAGTAACATCTTTTAGAGCGCTTTCAGGGGAATGCACGCCTGGTTACACGTTTGAGGTCGCAGATGTCCAGACCCTCACCTAGCAGAAGGCCACAGGGAGCCATTTCAAACGCAGGGGTGCTGATTTGTCACAGTTCATGACTGGCACAATATTAATGGACTCACTCCCAAAGTCAATAGCAGATCTTTGAAATTTTGCAACATCTTTCCCAAGAGTATTTAAAGCCAATTAGTATCCCACCTTGATACATTTAGCTATCTGAATGCTCAATTCTTTTTTTCCTTTTAACTCCGTTACAGCCTTGACTTTTGCTATTCTGTGAGAATAAATTCTGTAGGTTAATCAGACCCTGTGGAAGTGGCTCCTTTCTGCTTGCATCCCTCGTTCTTATAAGAAAAAAAGGTGAACAACTCTACTTCCTTATTATTTGTTTTGCTTACACCTTTCACATCTCCTACCTGCTGCTTCTTTTTGGTGAAGTTATAGTAGGTGAAAGCGCCTAAATGCTCTTTTTATGCAAGGTCATTTAAGAGGCAAGTGTTCCTATGCAAAACCACTTACTACATATTAAATATGTTAGGGTCCAGCATTTATCTGTATTTATTGGAGAATAGACTAGTTAACAGTACAGCTAGACCAGCTCCTATTTTATACCAATATTAATAACTTTAATGCAAGGAGGTCCTTTCTTTACTACAACATATACATCTGTTTTCCTAATTCCACCAAACCGCAATTTCGAGATTTCTGATCTTTGCCCTTCTCGCTGATGGCAGTAGTTTTTTTAATGCCAACAGGATTATCTGCCTAACTGGGCAGCAGCACTGATCTATGGCAGTCAGCAGATAACATGTTGAAATACAAAGCTGCACAGAAGCAGCAGGAGGTGAGAGCAAGGCTTCCCAAACTTGTGAACTGGGTAAGAAATTTATATTAAGGTCTAGCAAGCGTTCAGGTATGTCCTTTTTAACCTCCTTGGCCTAATAAACACTTTGGTGTTACGCTTACTACCTTCCCCATTGCTTAGGCTCATAGGATCGCCAAGGGCAACACCTCAGCCAGAGCTTGCACTGCCTTCCCTCTCCTGAGCCCACCCGGCTGCCTGAGAGCACTCCTGCAGCAAGGGCTGTCCCTGATGGATGTGCTCCCAAGTGTGCCATCACCGCCACTCGAGGAATGGAGAGGAAATCCAAGCAGACCCTCCACACAGGCCTATGAGCCAACCGGGAGCCACGTGGCAGCCTGTGAGCAAGCAGGCAACCAAGCAAGCAGAAATACTGTGCCCAGGAAAGGCCACAAAGCCAGCAGAAATACAGCAGCTTTGGCTGCAGTCCTGATGGTCGCTGTCCTTGTGCTGTGAGCCTGCACCAGCCTCTGCCTGATGCTACCAGAAGGCATATTAAAGGCAGGATACATATGTTTACAGTAGCTAAACATGATTTTATACACACAACCCTTGTCTAATGCACAGTGTGTTGTTTTTAAGCAAACATATATACTTGTTAAGGGGCAGAGGGGAGGAGTGAAGAAAGAAGAAATTTATTCTTCTCTTTCTCAATCTGTTTTTCAGTGAACGTTAAGCAAGCCTTGCGGCTCAAAGAGCCTCAGGAGTTCTGGGTGGATTCAAACACGAAGGCCTCGGTCCCTATGCTGTCAGTCACAGGGACATTCAAGTACAAAACTGATGCCAGCGGGATTTTTTCTGTGGTGGAAGTCCCCATCAGCAAGACCGTGCTGCTGGTGGTGCTGCAGCCCATCAACGGCAGCGACCTGGAGCACATGGAGTCCAAGCTGCCGTTGCAGTCCTCGGCCTGGCTTCAGCAGCTGTCCCCAAGGTAGGGCTTGGGCACGCGTGTCCTCCCGTAGGGATGAATGAGACAGGGTGCTCCGCACAGGCCTGCCTGCTTGCTGCCCGGGGTTGGATCCTGCCAGGGAGGGTTTAACACCCAGCACAAAGAGAAACACCTGCAAACCCAAGGGGCCTCACTCCAAGGGAGCTTGACTTCAGCGGGATCGGCTTTTTATCTGGGGGTATTTCAAGGAAATGAGCAACTGCCTTTCCATAGCTGACAACACAGGACCCAGGAAGCGGGATGATCTGGGGTTTAATAGTGTACCTGGGGCAGATTTAGGGTGACTCCCACTTGGAAACAGTAACATGACGGCCATCAGCCCTTGGTAGCTGTCTGTCCCCACAAACTGAGCACTTCTTGTGGCTGTTTTCACACGCCCGTTCCTCAGGACTGCCCAAACACCATGCTTTCATAGTGGAGAGCACACACTCACTTCTGTCTCTCTCCCTCTCTCTTTTCTGCAGAGAAATTAAATTAACGCTGCCGGAGTTAAGAATAGAAGGCAGCTCCGATCTACAGGAGCTTCTTACAGATATGGAACTGCCTGCACTGCTGGGGAAGGGGGCAGATCTCAGTAAAATAAGTGATGCCAATTTAACAGTTGGAAAGGTACAGTACACATCACTGGCATTTAAAAAATATGCCTCCTGTTCAGTTTCAGCCTCTTTAACTGTATAAATTTACCTAGAACAAACCAGTCAGAGCCATGTGGGACACATGCTAGTAGGGGACTTTCCAGATGACTGAATGATAGTGAATGAAGCAGGAATAGGTTTGCTTTAAGCTATTCAAATTTCACCACTGCAGCAAACATAACGTGCAACAGAGAGATGAAGTTTAAGGTCTGAGTGTGCTAGGTACTCTGAGTACAAATTAGACTGCATTCATTACCACCTCCAGCTCAAACACCTCCAGGCACCACAGCTGGAGCGAGTAGTAGAGGCTGCAGCTACCAGGCTGTTGAGGATAATCCTCCATCACTTTGGGACTACTCCCAGAAATCGCAAACACAGAGGTGCATGCAGCACATGACCTTACCTGAAGACAGGCTCCAGCATTCAAGTCCCAAGGGGAGGAAGGGAGAGCTTGAAGGAAAGGGCTGTCTTTCACAAAAAGAAGGCAAATTATGTTCCAGAAGTGTCATTCCAGTGCTTTTACTTTTATTTTATTTTTAAGAATGTGTCCTACCTTGAAAGTTCTGTCAGGGGCTTCAAGGGTACCAGGATTTCATACAGCCCAAGTGCACAAGCAGTTGTAGAGCTTTTTCACGTTATGGAACAAGTACTCCAAGGTCTTTTTTAAACACCCATGGAGTGTCTATCCTGTGCTGCTTACAGCTGATCTACGTTACCGATTACTTCATGTGCTAGAAAACACTTAAACCTTCATTAGTCTCTTCACTATCATGCTCTGATGACTCTGGATTTACTCATATGTTTTGCCTTACAGGTAATAAATAAAGCCTTTTTCAAACTGGCCAGTGGTGGAACAGATCAGCCAGAAGACCCCACAGCACAGAAGGAAGATCCGGTGTTCCTGGAAGTAACACTGAACAAGCCGTTCCTTTTAGCTGTTTTTGAAGAGAAGTCAAGGGCAATGCTTTTCCTTGGCAGAGTAACAAACCCACTGCACGGGGTTTAAATGCAAGCATGAGGGATGGGGAGGGAAGGGAATGATGCACATTTCCCATCACCTTTTTCTTATTCATCAGCTATTTTTATGATCTTGTTGAGTGCTCTACTTGGCTTTGAGATGAAGCAGGCAGTGTTTGAAATACAGCTTTTTGAAAGCTAAAACATTGCAACATTTCATCCTTGTTCATCTGTTTCACGTGAGGTGACTCAAACTCTTCCTCCAGCTTCTCTTCTTTCCTTATTCCCACTTTTCTCTCCCTTCTGCTCCCAGCTCCCTTTTTTGATGCAGAGGGGACAAAGTAGCAGCCAGCAGGGCATTGACTTAAAAAAACAGTTTTATAAGCACAAGCAGCATTTACTATAGAAAGGTATAGAAATGGACCTCTTCAATCCTGAAGAGGTCACTTTTTAATTTTTAGTTTGGTCCGTTTTGCAAGAGACCCCCTTTTACATTACGATGAAGGTTTTACAGTTATCCACAGAGATTTCTAGCTTCATCAGCAACATTTTCCTCTAAAATGCTACCAACAGCATGGGCAGGTTTCACTTGTCCCACTGTGACAAGATTTTTTGCCTTGGAAGCAAAAACACATTTAGAGGAAGTTTCTTCTTTCTGCAGCCCAGATGGATACGTTCATTTCTTAACTCTATGGAAAAACTAAAAATAGGGTTTGGTAGCATTAATGAACTGTGATGGATAAATTCTCATAGCCTGACAGAATTAACTCGGATTTTTTTAGAAAAAAAAAAGGCCTACTATTCCAATACAATTCCATTCCTTGGATTACTTTCTAACCTGAGAGGCATTTATTACAGCCTCATAGTGAAAGAGAACATTACTGGTTAGAGCTCAGATCTGTAAACTTTAACATATCCAAACCATATGTTCTTAAAAAATAGTATTAATGTCAATAATCGATACTAGTATAAATGGTGGATGTGCTGCTACACATGAATAAAAAGGTTTCAGTGGTCCAATCCAACTCTTAACAGAGCCATAAAGGTTTGAAACATTAAACTGGAACAACAGATTATTAGACGACTCTTGAATTAGGAAGTGAGGAACTGGGAGTGTAATCTTGGTACTACAGAAAGCCTCTCAGTGGAACAAGGATTTCGACCTCTCATCTCTAGATTTGTCTTTAGCACTGATGGCGTTTAGAAAATAACTGCAAACCTCTTTGGTATATGACGCCGGATGTATCCTACAGAACACGGTAGATCATTGTCATCCACAGTGGCCCAAATGTCTATCTAATCCAAACCCACTAATGCCAGTGGCTTGCTATCGGTGATGTAGATACATGACAGATCCTTCTAGCTTAATGGAAAAGACTAATAAATAACACAACTCACTCCCCAGAATGGTAGGATTTCAAGTGCTATGATATAGCATCCACGTATTTATCCGATTATACTGTATGTATTCCAGATGCTCTAACATCTAAATACTGTATTTGTACTATACACAGAAGCAATTAACTATAAATATGCAGAGACGGAAAGATGCAAATAAAACCACTTCCAAGTTGCTTTGCCACAGTTCAGTTGGGTTTATGTCCATAACTACATCCCTTGTTCTGGCTTCTGAAATTTGCTCCAAGTCAGATTTCTGTTAAGACAGTAAGTTGCAAATTATCATGCAATACAGCCAGTGATACAGCTGTAAGCATGAAAGAGGCAGCTTCCAAGTGTTCATACTAATTTAAAAGTTATCCCATTTACTCATTAAAGTCAGAAGGTAACATCAGCCACAAATAAAATTTCAGACCACAAAATGTTCCATTTCTACGGTGAAGATGGAGGATAACGAAAGGGAGCCCCTGGCCACGCTGCCAGTAAGTTCTGGGACAAAATGCCATTATTCACAGGCGGGGGCTGCAATGCTGTTGGAAGACTCCATATCTTCTCCAGTGGTTACAGACAGAAAAACAAACAAAACCCACCACCCACAAAACCAAACACTTTTCAGAAAAGAAACTCTGTGGTGGAGAGCACTTCTCCACTGACACCCTGGAAAAGAAAAGGAAGGAAGAAAGGGCCGAGACAGGGAACTAAAAGTATACTGGCCAGAGCAAGGACTGGGAAGAGGGAGGTGTTGGAGCAAGTGCTACAGTACCAGAAAGATATGCGCTATCTGTACATGTACCCAGTCTCCTAGATATTCAAATGGTAAAAAACCACAAAAAACAAACCAGCCAACCCACCCACCCAAAAAAACCCCAACTAAATCTCTCCGCTTCCCCAATAATATATACTCTCCCAAGACTTGTTTCTGACATCAATTTTACATCTAAAATTTTTTATGCCATTTTATACTCTTCACTCTCTTCCAGTTCCACCAAATCGCTCTGCCAGGCACACAATGATGCACATTCCAAGCATCCTAAGCATCATCCACACGCTGAGCTCTCAGCTGCAGTCTACAGCTCAACTGTCTAGTGAATGAAGCACTTAAAATCATGCTCTAACAGATGGAGATTTGGAGAAAGAAAACAAAGACAAAGACAGGCTTTTTAAGTTTCATCAAAACAACATAGTTTATCCCTGAGCATAGCTGACAATTATGCTGATAAGCTTAAAAAAAAAAAATCTAGGCAGCTTGCTTCCTCATCCCCTCAGTTCAAGCATGAAAATACATCTGCTGATAGAAAAAGGAGAGTAAACATTCCTCAATATTGAGTGGCCCAGCCAAATATACATATTGCCAGTTATCTTTAGGTGATATGGTTAAAACAGTCTGGTCCACTTCTGGTATAATCCACAAACTTAAGAATCCAATTACCATTTTAGAGGAAAACATGCCACCACTCTTTCCCTCCTCAATGCTATTACACAAAACCTCTTCCAGCTAAATTCCTTCCAGACTTTGAAAGGCATAGCAAGTTTTCTGGAAGTCCTAGAAGGGAAGAAAAAGGCACAAAATCTGCATTACTGTCATGAAGTGAACTGCACTTAAAAAAAAAAAAATCTGAGGAATAGAAGAAAGAGGATTAGTAGCAGAAGACATCTCTATCAGAACACACTTACATGGTAGATCCTCTCCTCCTGACTGGTCCACAGTATCTGAAAATGCTAGAATTCATTTTACCAAAGACAAAGCCAATTCACACCTCTTCTTTCTTCCAACAAGGCTATCACAGAAATTTTTAACTTATGTCGTATTCCACTGAAAGAAAATTAAATGCTATTCAAGTGAACAAAAATAAAAGATGGGGAACTGACATAAAACCAGTGATGTAGACATTTACAGCAATCATAGGACCATTCAATAATTTTGATTTGCTACACAATGTTATTTCCTGCCCTGAAATTAAAGCTGGTCTTCAATGGAAAAGAACAGAATTCAGCCTGTACACTCAGCAAGCTGATGATGACAAGTAGGAAGCGGTGTTATTGCAGGAAGATGTGGGAAATCACGTGCAACAAAAGGGCAAGTAACCTTTTTACGCCTTTTTGGTTTGGTACACAGATCGCATCCTTTTCCCTCATTTTGGAGGATACAAAGCTGTTCTATCTTCAATCACTAGCATGCACAGATCCCAGAATCTGCTACTTTTGTGACAGCTGTTATAGAAATTAAAATTTATAGATACACACACCTTCCAAAAGAAGAAGCTGCACAATGCATTTACAATACTACAATCTCAGTCTCAGACTACAACTTACACATTCATTTTAAAATAAGAAAACATCGTTGAAAACAACAGTAGCTAGTGGTAGCAAGACATTTCTACTCCTGACTCTTAATAAAAGCAAACGAAGAGGTGCAGGGAGACCAAGCTTTCTAGGTTCATCAATTAGAAGCCTGGAAAGATGTAATACAGACAACAAACTTCTTGTTCGTAAGCAGTAAGAGTTACGTTCATTCGGCAGTGTGTAGCTAAGCCCTTGGCTGGCTGAGGATCTCCGCGTCACTGAATGAGACAAACAGATCTGACATCCAGCAAGTTGGTTCACTTTGCTGTTTCTTTCTTCAGCAATAAATTTGGATGCTCTCTCAATTGTATATGTTGCCTTGAACAGAGAGATGCTAAGCAAACTAGAAGAGCCAAATCCTGCTCTCCATTACTCAGATTGAATCCAAGAAGAACCAACATAATTTTAAGCAGCAGTACTTTCCCCACTGCACCCCTTTATAAAATTGATTTTAGAAAAGTCATAATAATCACCTATCCTAATCGCTTCAAAAGCACAGTGATCACATAGTTGTGTCTTCTCAACTAAAATATGGTCAATTCTCCAACAGTGAGAAATAAAAGCCTTAATGCTGTGAAAGGTTTGCTCACTACAACTTCAATGCTACATAACAGCCATGCGCTACAAACTCCATCTCTCTCAGTGGTTGGAAGATTTGCATCATCTTCAGCTCCCCCATTAAGACCCAAGCTCTCTAAATACTTTAGGAAGAAATGGGTATTTTTAATTCATAAACATGAACTAGAATTCCAGTGTTAAATTTTCACAGGGTAAAAAAACCAAAAACCACAAAACCAGAGATAAAACCTTCCTGCGCTCACACAGGGAGCATTTGAAAAGCATTTGAAAGCCTCAAATTCACCTTCTACTGTCCCCAGACTGTGTTACCTGTCCCTCACATATAAAAGAGAAGTGTCAATAGGCAAATCACTCTAGGTTCAAGAGAGCTCTTTGTTAATCCTTCTACCATTTAAAACCCTAATAACACTTTCAAATTTCCTGCTATATAAAGATGCACCTTGTACTGAAGCAACTAGGTTTGAAGTTACAAGAATTCTACATGTATTCAGGCAAAATATTCCCCGGAATTCTAACAGACAATATAATACAAATCAGAAATATGCCAACTCTGAATAAATTCTAGCTTAGTGAATCAAGTTTTAGTTTGAAGGAAAACAGGTAGCCTGAATGTACCAGCCAGTAAGTTAGATACTGATACTAGAAATTATTTTTTAAATTTAAAGTACTTTAAGAGTTTTTTTTTTTATGCAGCACTTCTCACCAACAAGGTCCATGAAAAAAAACAAATCAGTAAAGTGAAAACACTCAAAACCCAAACAAGAGCTAACCATATCCCATGGTGAGGGAAAGCAGGTAAGTGCAATGCAGTAACAAGAAACAGCAGATTCCTATTCCTGTGAGCACCT